TTAAGGATGAGTAATTGGGAGACTGGAGGTGCTATTAATGAAATGGGAAAGATGTTTTTTTTTTCGAGACAGATTCTTGCTTTGTCACCTAGGCTGGAGTGCAGTGGCGTGATCTTGGCCCACTGCAACCTCTGCCTACCAGGTTCACGTGATTCTCTTGCCTCAGCCTCCTGAGTAGCTGGGATTACCGGCATGTGCCACCACACCCGGATAAGTTTTGTATTTTTAGTAGAGATAGGGGTTTCACCATGTTGGCCACTCCTGACCTCAGGTGATCCGCCCTCCTCTGTCTACCAGAATGCTGGGATTACAGGCGTGAGCCACTGTACCCAGCCTGGAAAGATTTTCTCTCCACTTATTGGACTGATTAACACTTTCTCTTCCTTTAGACCTTGGATCAGAGATTATTTTTTAAAATTGTTTTTACTTAAAATTAAAAAAAATTTTTTTTGAGACAGGGTCTTGCTTTGTCACCCAGGCTGGAGTGTAGTGCTCATGGCTCATCGAAGCCTCAACCTCCCAGGACCAAGCGATCTTCCCACTTCATCCTCCCAAGTAGCTGGGACTACAGGTACATGCCACCATGCCTGGCTAATTTTTGTATTTATTTATTTATTTTTAGATAGAATCTTGCTCTGTTGCCCAGGCTGCAGTACAGTGGCGTGATTTTGGCTCACTGCAACTTCTGTCTCCCGGGTTCAAGTGATTCTCTTGCCTCAGCCTTCTGAGTAGCTAGGATTATAAGTATGTGCCACCACATCTGGCTAATTTTTATATTTTTAGTAGAGATGGGGTTTCATCATATAGGCCAAGCTGGTTGAACTCTTGACCTCAGGTGATACACCTACCTCAGCGTCCCAGAGTGCTGGGATTATAGGCATGAGCCACTGTGCCTGGCCCAATTTTTCTGTTTTTTATAGAGATAGGGTTTCACCGTGTTGCCCAGGCTGGTCTCAAACTCCTGAGCTTAAGCAATCTGCCCACCTTAGCCCCCCAAAGTGCTGGGATTACAGGCATGAGGCACCATTCCTGGCCTATTTTTATTTTTATTTTCAGACAGGTTCTCACTCTGTCATCCAGGCTGGAGTTCAGTGGCATTATCTCAGCTCTGCAACCTCAGCCTCCCAGGCTCAGGTGATCTCACCTCAGCCTCCCAAGTAGCTGGGACTACAGGTACACACTACTACTCCTGGCTAATTTTTATGTTTCTGTAGAGATGAGGTCTTGCCATGTTACCTAGACTCATCTCCAACTCCAAGGTGATCTCCATCTCCAACTCAAGCGATCTGCCCACCATGGCTTCCTTACTGCTGAGATTATAGGCATGAGCCATTGCACCTGGCTTTTTATTGTTTTTATTTTTTGTAGAGATGGGATTTTGCTGTGTTGATCAGGCTGGTCTCAAACTCATGGCCTCAAGCAATCCGCCCACTTCAGCCTCCCAAGTAGCTAGGACTATAGATATATAGTCCACCACCTGTGGCTAATTAAAAAAAAAATTTTTTTTCTTTTAATAAAGATGGGGTTTCACCATGATTGCCAGGCTGGTCTTGAACTCCTGACCTCAAGTGATCCACCCACCTCAGCCTCCCAAAGTGCTAGGATTATAGGCATGAGCCACTGTGCCCAGCTAATTTTTTTTCTTGTATTTTTTTTAGGGTAGACACGGGGGGTTTTGCCATGTTGCCCAGGCTTGTCTTGAATTCCTGAGCTCAAGCGATCCATCTATCTCATCCTCTGAAAGTGCTGGAATTATAGCATGAGCTATAATTCATGCATGTGCCTGTACTCTTTGTGACTGTTTAGAGTAGACCATATTTGGTTAGAATAAATAATATTATTATTTTCTTTTCTTTTTTTTTTTTTCATGCTAGCTCATTAGTAGTAGATCCAAAAGAATAAATAATATTTTACCTGACATGATGGCTTACGCCTGTAATCCTGGCATTTTGGGAGGCCGAGGTAGGCGGATCATGAGGTCAAGAGTTCGAGACCAGCCTGGCCAAAATGGTAAAACCCCATCTCTACTAAAAATACAAAAATTAGGCATGGTGGTGCAAGCCTGTAGTCTCAGCTACGTTGCAGTGAGCTGAGATTGCACTGCTGCACTCTAGCCTGGGTGACAGAGCAAGACTCTGTCTAAAAAAAAAAGAATAAATAATATTAGCAGTAGTTATCTTTGAGACATGAGATTCTGATTTTCTTCTTTTTCTTCCTATTGGCTCTCCCTTCAGAGTATTCGTAGAATATGACCACTTCTCACCGCATTCACTACCAATTCCTTGGTCTGATGGAGCCACCATCATTTTTCACATTGATTATGGAATTACCTTCTCCCTTGCCTTCCTGCATCTGTCCCCCGGATAGTCTGCTCTTAGTACAGCAGTCATTATGATCATGTAAAAATATGAGACAGTTCATGCAGAGCTAACGAAGTTCTCTGGGTGTCCTACAAGGCTCTACATGATCTGACCATTGTGTCCTGTTTTCTTATTGCTGTTAACATTGTGTTTCTGACTCTTTCCTTTCCTTCTTTTTCCTTGCTTTGTTTCCTAGGCTGGAGTGTAGTGGTATTATCATATCTCATTGTAACCTAAAACTCCTTGGCTCATGTAATCCTTCTGCCTCAACCTTCCAAATTGCTGGGACTATAGGCACATGCCACCATGCCTGGATAATTAAAAAAATATTTTTTTTTCAGCTGGTCATGGTCACTCATGCCTATAATCCCAGCACTTTGAGAGGCCAAGCCAGGCAGATTACTTGAGGTCAGGAGTTCGAGACCAGCCTGGCCAACATGGTAAAACCCTGTCTCTACTAAAAATATAAAAATTAGCTGGGCATGGCAGTGCATGCCTGTAGTCCCAGCTACTCGGGAGGCTGAGGCAGGAGACTCACTTAAACCCAGGAGGTGGAGGCTACAGTGAGCTGAGATTGTACCACTGTGCTCCAGCCTGGGTGACAAAGTGAGACTTCATCTCAAAAAAAAAATTTTTTTTTTTGTAGAGACTGGGTCTCTCAGTGTTGCCCAGGCTGGTCTGCAAACTCCTGGCCCTCCTGTCTTGGCCTTCCAAAGTGCTGGGATTATAAACATGCTCCAGTGTGCCTGGTCTCGCTTCTTCTCATTCTATACTTTTTATTTTTTTAGATACTCTTGATCTTGCAATCTCAGCTCACTGCAACCTGTGCCTCCTGGGTTCAAGCGATTATCGTGCTACAGCTTCCTGAGTAGCTGGGATTACAGGCATGTACCACCATACCCAGCTAATTTATTTATATGCATATTTGTTTATTTATTTGGATACGGAGTCTTGCTCTGTCACTCAGGCTGCAGTGCAATGGCGCAGTCTTGGCTCACTGCAACCTCTGCCTCCTGGGTTCAAGCAATTCTCCTGCCTCAGCCTCCCTAGTAGCTGGGATTACAGGTGTGCACCACCGCGCCTGGCTAATTTTTGTATTTTTAGGGGAGACAGGATTTCAACATGTTGTCCAGGCTGGTCTCAAACTCTTGACCTTGTGATCCACCCGCCTTGGCCTACCAAAGTGCTGGGATTACAGGTGTGAGCCACCTCGTGTGGACTCATTTCTTAATATTTTAAGTAGGGATGGGATTACAGGTGTGAGCCACTGCACCCGGCCTAATTTTTTATGTTTTAAGTAGAGATGGGGTTTTGCTATGTTGGCGAGGCTGGTCTCAAACTGACTTCTAGTGATCCACCTACCTTGGCCTCCCAAAGTACTGGGATTATAGGTGTGAGCCACTGTCCCTGGCCACATGATATGCTTTAATCACATTGGCTTTCTTGCTGTTCTTCTAACACAGTAGGTAAACTCCTGCCTTGGGACCTTTGCATTGGCTGTTTCCTCTGCTGTGCATTCTTGAGTAACTCAAATCTCTGCTCAATTTTTTTTTCTTCTTAGGGGTCTTGACTGATCAAATCTTCTCTTTAAAGCCTGTATTGACTTCTCTATTTCAAATTGCAACCCATCCCTAGCACTTTTAGTCTTCCTTCTCCTGCTCTAGCATTACCAGTTTCCCAGCAAACTATATAGTTTATCTATTTGTTATGCTTTTTGGTTTGTTTGTTTTTTTGCCTATACTCCCTGGCTAGAATGAAAACTCTCTCAGATACTCCACTGTAGAGTTTAAAAAAAAAAGAATGAAAACTGCCAGAGCAGGGATTTTTGTCTGTTTTTTTCTCTGATGTATCCCAGGAGACTGGGACAGTGATGGGCACAGACTAAGCACTTAATAAATATTTATTAGATGAATGAATGTGCATCTATACTTTCTATGTTCAGGGAAGAGAAAAACAGTCCAGGTGCAGTGGCTCACACTTGCAGTCCCAGCACTTTGGGAGGCCAAGGTGGGCAGATCACCTGAAGTCTGGAGTTCAAGACCAGCCTGGCCAACATGGTGAAACTCCATGTTTTTTTTTTTTTTTTTTTGAGACAGAGTCTCCCTCTTGTTGCCCAGGCTGGGGTACACCAGTACCATCTTGCCTCACTGCAACCCCCACCTCCTGGGTTCAAATGATTATCCTGCCACAGCCTCCTGAGTAGCTGGGATTACAGGTGGCTGCCACCACACCTGGCTAATTTTTGTATTTTTTAGTAGAGATGGGATTTCATCATGTTGGCCAGACTGGTCTCAAATTCCTGACCTCAGGTGATCCACCACCTTGTCCTCCCAAAGTGCTGGGATTACAGGTGCGAGCTATTGCGCCCAGCCGTGAAACCCCATCTTTGTAATCCCAATTACTCAGGAGGCTGAAGCAGGAGAATTGCTTGCATCCAGGAGTCAGAGGTTGCAGTGAGCACTGCACTGCACTCCAGGCTGGGTGACAAAATGAGACTGTCTCAAACAAACCAAACCAATAACCGAAAGAAAAGGAAAACCAACTGCTGTGTGCTAGAAGGAGGAAGGGAAGCCTGTTCTTGCTACCAGGAGAGATTTTCTCCATTTGAATTTCTGACTCTTGTTTTCTCTTTTTTTTCAGGCTGTAGCAGAGGAGGAATGATTGTGAATAGCCTCTCTCTGTGCTACCATAACAAGCTGATTCTGGCCCCAATGGTTCGGGTAGGGACTCTTCCAATGCGGCTGCTTGCCTTGGATTATGGAGCAGACATTGTTTACTGTGAGGTAAGGGGCTCCTGATTTTTCTGGGTGGGCTTCTCCACAAGTGCAGATTCTTCTCCATTTGTGTGTGGGAGTGGTCGGGAGTTAGGGGAGACAGATGGGAATTGACTTTACAGGTGCTCACTAAAGGCTGGAGGAGATGAACGTATGTGATACTCATGAGTCCTGTGAACCCTGCTAAGGCCCAGGAGCCTGTAGCACAGAGGCATTCTGGAATATCCTGGGCTAGTTGGAAAGATGAGTCTCATGTCATGTCTGGGCAACCTAGTGAGACCTCATCTCTATTTTAAAAAATAAAAAGAGACTGGGTATAGTGGCTCACACCTGTAATCCCAGCACTTTGTGAGGCTGAGGCGTGCAGATCACCTGAAGTCACGGGTTTGAGCCCAGTCTGGCTAACATGGTGAAGTCTTGTCTCTACTAAAAATACAAAAATTAGCTGGGCATGGTGGTATGTGCATGTAGTCCTAGCTACTCAGGAGACTGAGGCAGGAGAATTGCTTGAACCTGGGAAGTGGAGGTTGCAGTGAGCCGAAATCACGCCACTGTACTCCAGCCTACGTGACAGAGCAAGACTCCATCTAAAAAAAAAAATAATAATAAAAAATAAAAAGAGGCTGGGCATGGTAGCTCATGCCTGTAATACTAGCACTTTAGGAGGCCAAGGCAGGAGGATCACTTGAGCCTAGAAGTTTGAGACCATCCTGGGCTATATAGTGACACCTCATCTCTTTAAAAAAAAAAAAAATTTTGTAAGTTAAAAAAAAAAAAAAAGCCTGGTATGGTGGCTCACACCTGTAATCCCATCACTTTGGGAGGCTGAGGCAGGAGGATTACTTGAACCCAGGAGTTCAAGACCAGCCTGGGTAATATAGTGAGACCCTGTCTCTACCAAAAAATAAAAAATGTACAAAATAAAAAAAGAAAAAGCCACTATGTAGAGGAAATGGAGGACTTAAGAGGAGATTGGGGGAAAACATACTTTTATGAACTGGGTATATGTGTTGGGGCATAGATATCAATGACAGAAAAGGTAAAAGAGTGAGAAAAATAGTCAAGTCACATTTTATGTGAAGGGTGGCAGGCAAAGAGAGGAGTGCTTGTGCAGGGAAACTCCTGTTTTTTTAACCATCAGATCTTGTGAGACCTTTTCACTATCAAGAGAACAGGGAGCAAGTGATGGAAGGAGGGAAGCCAAGAGGTTTCATGCCTGAGAGACCTGTTTCATGAGGTGTCCAGTCTTCTACTGGAAATGAGGCTGACAGGAGTGAGGTGGGGACTTGATGAAGGTGAGGAAGGTTTGGTCCTATTCCCGTGGAGACTGGGAAGTTTGCCTGGCAGCCAGGTATGCATGGTAATGCTGGTTTGCAGTGTTTGGGGAAGGAGAGCTGAGAGGCCTCAGTGGTATGTCCATGGATGGGGATTGGCGTGTTGGTGCCTGCCGCAGGGCAGGGGGCAGAGGTCTCTAGGGTGCTGACAAGGCAAAGAGGGAGGGAGAGAGAGGAAAGCGGATGTGTTGTCCAAATGTATGAGGTGGAAGGCAGATTCCTGGATTCCCCACAGAGGCCTGAGCCCTGACTCTAAGACAGTTTGTGCGAGGATTGTGAGATTGGCTGTTAGTGGGCCTCCATAAGGCTTCCAGGCTGCTAGATCTGCCTAGGGCAGGGAGGAACTGTTCCCAGGATCAGCGGCTAGGACATGTGTGGTCATGCTGAGCATTATTCATCTGGTCACTTGTCCCTTGAGCTGGCACTCAGGCCCCTCGGTGCTCAGCAATGGTTGGGTTCCTGGCCAGCACCCTCCTTATCCCTCAGAAAAGTCTCTTAAATTTGGAAGAGGAATGGGATGAGGGGGACTTTAAAGAATCGTCTCATAGCCTGAGGACTGGTGACTAAAAATACCAAATCCGAATTCACTCCATCCTCTTATAGGACAATAACAAAGAGGGACATATTAGCTGCTCATCCATTAGTCCATGTATATATGTGTGTGTGTGTGTATATATATATATATATATATATTTTTTTTTTTTTTTTGAGATGCAGTCTCACTCTGTCGCCTAGGCTGGAGTGCAGTGGTGTAATCTTGGCTCACTGCAACCTCTGCCTCCCAGGTTCAAGCAATTCTCCTGCCTCAGCCTCCTGAGTAGCTGGGACTACAGGTGCATGCTGCCATGCCCAGCTAATTTTTGTATTTTTAGTAGAGATGGGGTTTTGCTGTGTTGGCCAGCCTGGTCTCAAACTTCTGTCCTCAAGTGATTCCCCTGCCTCGACTTTGCAACATGTTGGGATTAGGAGAGTGAGCCACTGTGTCCGCCCTTCTGGAATTGTTTTCTTTCTTTCTTCTTTTTTTTTTTGTTGCGACAGAGTCTCACTCTGTCACCCAGGCTGGAGTGCAGTGGTATGATCTTGGCTTACTGCAACCTCTGCCTCCCAGGTTGAAGCAATTCTCCCACCTCAGCCTCCTGAGTAGCTGGGATTATAAGTGTCTGCCATCGCACCCAGCTAATTTTTGTATTTTTAGTAGAGATGAGTTTTCGCCATGTTGGCCAGGCTGGTCTTGAACCCCTGACCTTAGGTGATCTGCCTGCCTTGGCTTTCCAAAGTGCTGGGATTACTGGTATGAGGCACTGCACCTGGCCTTAGGGTTGTTTTCAAGCCCTTTAGAAGTTTAGGGCTCAGGATTTATGTGATTACTTTAGTATGTGACCCTCCTAATTGGGCAAAGCTTGGTTTTCCTGGTAAATGTGCCCATTCCTTTATTCCAGGGTCTTGCTCCTATGTGGAGCAGAGAAAATACGAATTAAAATGTGTTAGCATTGTTTGATGTGCACTTCCCTGAGAGAGTCAGTATAGCTTATGAATAAACAAAGGGGTCTCTGCAGAGACCCCTTCCACCCAGACCTGTCCCCTATGAAGAGCAGACAGGTTGGCAGGTCAACCCTCACCTGGCTTGTGTAGGTGGCTGGTTACTGGGCCTCTGGGCATGGCTGATTGTGGTGTCAGGCGCCACCTGGTGGATCCATGGTTGTTCTGCCGGCAAGCTTTGGAGTACCTGTTGCCTGGATGTTCTCAACAGGGGAGTTCATGTGAGGTGGCCCATCTGTGGGATTAGATAATTAAACGACCCCACCTAGCTCATGGGACCTCACACACATCAGGCAAGTAGGCACCTCCTTAAAAACCCCACAAAGTCGCCGGACGCGGTGGTACATGCCTGTAATCCCAGCACTTTGGGAGGCTGAGGCAGACGGATCACCTGAGGTCTGGGGTTTGAGACCAATCTTGCCAACATGGTGGCATTTTTTAAAATAGAAAAAATTATTCTTTGCCCAGAAAGTCTTTGAGTCTAAAAAAGAAAAAAAAAGTAGAAAAAATATATATATAAAAAATTAGCGGGGCGTGGTGGTGTACACATGTAGTCCTAGCTACTTGGGAGGCTGAGGCAGGAGAATTGCTTGAACCAGGGAGGCAGAGGTTGCACTAAGCCGAGATCAAGCCACGGTACTCCCTGCTGGGTGTCAGAGCGAGACTCTGTAAAAAAAAAAAAAAAAAAAAAGAAATACCCACAAAGTTCTCAGCACCTGGAAGATGAGCCAGTCTGTAAAAGTCAAGGGAGCAGCAGTAGTCTTTCCCCATGAGGGTCTGCCAGGAATTTTTGAGGAGTGATGACAGTTTTTGAGAGGTGCTGCAGAGGTCATGTTTCTGTTTCCTTTTATAAGAATGGTGGGATTCTGGTGTTCCAGTCTTTGAAGAGACACTGACTTGTTGTTAAACTTCTTAATAAGTAGCATCAAGGGACAAGGAAATGTTCTTAAGAGGCCCAGAGTACCACAAATGATTGATTTAGTCTCAGCTCAGTGGCTGACATCTGTAATTCCAGCGCTTTGGGAGGCCGAGGTGAGTGGATTACCCAAGGTCAGGAGTTTGAGACTAGCCTGGTCAGCACGGTGAAAACCCCTCCGTACTAAAAATACAAAATTAGCTGAGCGTGGCGACACACACCTGTAATCTCAGCTACTTGGGAGGTTGAGGCAGGAGAATCACTTGAACCTGGGAGGCAGAGGTTGCAATGTGCTGAGATTGTGCCATTGCACTCCAGCCTGGGCGACAAGGGCGAAACTGTCTCAAAAAAAAAAGAGAGAGAGAGAGAGAAATGAGTGATTTAAAAAAGTTTTTCTGGCCAGGCGCAGTGGCTCATGCCTATAATCCCAGCACTTTGGGAGGCCGAGGCGGGCGGAGGTCCCACCTGAAGTCAGGAGTTCAAGACCAGCCTGACCAACATGGTAAAATCCTGTCTCTAAAAAAAAAAAAGTTAAAAAAAAAAAAGTTTTCTTTCTTATTGTGACAAAAAATATATAGTTACTATCTTAACCCTTTGTAACTATACAGTTTATGTAGTACAGTTATGTAACTATATAGTGTTATGTATATTCACGTTGTGAAACAGATCTCTGGAATTTTTTCATCTGGTAAAATGGTAACAGCAATTTCCCATTTCCCCTTCTCCCAGCCACTGGTAACTACCATTCTACTTTCTGTTTCTATGAATTTGACTACTTTAGATACCTTATATAAGTGGAATCATGCAGTATTTATTGTTTGTGACTGGCTTATTTTCCTTAGCATAATGTTGTCAAGGTTTACCTGTTATAGCATGTGACAAGATTTCCTTCCTTTTTAATACTCCCTTGTATGTATATATCACATTTTGTTTATCTATTCATCCATTAATGGCCATTGGGTTGCTTCTGTGAATAATGCTGCTGTGAACATGGGTGTGCAAATAATCTCTTTGAGACCCTGCTTTTAATTCTTTCGATGGTATATCCAGAAGTGGGATTGCTAGATTATATGGTAGTTCTAGTTTTAAGTTTTGAGGACTCTCTATACTGTTTCCCATAACCATAATGGCTGCATCATTTTACAATCCCAGTAACAGCACACAAAGCTTCCGGTTTCTCTACATCCTCAAAAATGCTTGTTTGTTTGTTTTTTTTGTTT